CATCAGCTCCATCATATTGGTCTCACTTTTTTGGATGTTTTGTATATACTTTATCGAGTAATATGGATCTGGTTGTGGATCTGGTTGTGGATCTGGTTGTGGATCTGGGGAACATATCAGTTGAAAACGCTGAACGACCAAAATAATAGCACAGATTTGTATCGCGTACATTTTTCACTTTATCTTGCACAGTAAAAAAAAAAAAAAAACGATATGACTATAAACCCGTTTAATACACAAGTTTTGTATCTTTTTAATTCTATCCGCCGATTACCAACACCCTATTGTCATGCAAAAGTGGACTGTTCGTACTAGTAGCAAAATGTGTTATTGTATTATTCATTTTTTATATTAGATGCCTACAACACTTAAAATACTTGCGTTTTATATCGTTCGAAAAACCTGAACAAACAACGTATCGATGACAAAAGAGTGCCAAATCAGCACTGTTTTGTCTTCGAAGATATTTAGTTGAAGAAAAAAAAGGAAACTACGTTGAATATTTTTTTATTAAGCAATATTTTATAAAATATTGCTAAAAATACCTACGTAATTGAAGATAGATAATGTATTTTTAACAGGTTTATAAGGCTTTAGGTTCAACTAATTTATTGTCATTGGTTTTTCTTATACTTTTTATAAAAAAATGTTTGAACATTTTTTACATTGATCGAATTTTTACAATTTTTAGCATTAAATATCAAAATTTCCTATAGAATGTGATTTTCGAGAAAACCCGAAATTTCCAAAAAAATGTGTAAACGGATTTGTAATTAATTCGAAAGGATCACCAAAAATAATAATATATGTATTTGAATTTTTCCAGTTGTTGGTTTTATGAAGAATATCGTTACTTTGTTTTGATGATATTTATATAGTATATTAAATATTCAATTAAGCGCTATAATTATATTTCATGTAAAACGATGACTTTAAAACTATAAAATCCATCGAAAATTCAACACTTGCAGGGAGATAGGGAAGAATATTTTTGTTTTTTTGCAAAATAAAACTTGTTTAAATTACCGAAATCATGTTACGTTATTGGATTTCAGTTTTATTGAGTTCTGAGTTATAAGTATTTAAATACTATGCGTTTATACTAAAATCAGACGTACTTTATTATTTTTAAATGTACCTACCTATTCGAAAAAAAAATATTGCACTCAGTGATTTGTTAAAATGCGTGATCTAAAAAAAACTACATTTGGCGAAACGAAACAAAATCAAACAATATGAGCTGTGCTTAAGATTCAAAGGTTTTCGCATAAAAAAAAAAAGTAACAACAAAGTATGTTTTCGGTCGCGCAACCGGTGTTGTGTTGATTTGTTCGAGATATTTTTACAGCGACTATACAACGGTGAATATGTCGCACGTTCCATGTTTGTTGTCCATCTTAATTATCGCCATGGCTTTGTGTATGGGCTTTAGCTCAATAGCAATCGTCAATCGTACAGGTAAAATCGAAGAACAATGGAATACCGTGCGAAAGCTCAATAAGGGTCTGTATGCGAAACCAATGCTGGAGGACACCATTCGGGATGAAGGGACGCTAATGGAGCACATACGTAAAGGATACGAAGACCTTAAGTGTAGCTATTTGTTCAGTGTGCTGTTGCATCTAAAGCTGACCGAAAACCTGGTGATATTGAAGCCTCACGTGGAAGCAAACACTGACAGGAAAGGTGCGGGCAAAAATATCGTAACCGATGTGTCGTTTTGGAATGAAGGCCGGCAGATATTGGCGTTTATGAATCACATTCACATCGACGAGCTGCGGTCCACGACCAGCACATTGCGGTTTGAACTCAGCGTGTTTTGGATATTCGCCATGTACACCGAAAGGGTGCAGAAGTACGCGACCAACGACTTGGTAAGAAACGAAGAGGCGAAGAAATCGCTGACCATCATACACACTGCGGTGACGAAATTGTTCGAAGACTGTTCGAACGAATGCATAGTTTACGATCAGAACTCCGGCTTGCCGTTGGAGGAGGTTTCGCTTTTGGATAAAATCAATGAACGCTTCAGTTCAGCCAAAGATCCAGATTCGCAGATAACGTTGATCGGTGAAAATAAAAGTGAGTTCAAACAACAAGTCGACGACAACCATCAAATTATTATCCCCTACCCCGACGGTAGTAAAGACCAGCTGAAAATGACATGCATGTACCTAAACAACGTGCATGAATCAATCGACGACATTACTTTGCTGGTACAACATTTGGGTATGTTCGACAAAAATTCACAAAACTCATTCGTTAACAAATTAAGCGACCTGTTCGAAGTAGCCACGAGCACTACGGCACCGCTATACCACCAAATGGAAGTTCTCGGTTGGTTTCAACAATATTTCATTGAAATACTCAAGGCAATCGCTCTGAGTATAGCGTACAAACACTTGGAGTGCTTAAAAAGTCGGTTGAATGATAACACAGGCTCTCAAAGTCCTTTGTCCGAGATTCAATCTCAGACAAAAGAAATGCATACAGTACTGACCGATTTCTACGATTATTTAAATTTGGCTGCCTATAACGACACGCTCATGCCCAGAGTCATTAAAGAGTTTAGCAAGTCCGTGGATTATTTAAACAGTATAAATCAAATAGATGATCTGATGAAGCACACCAACAGTTCGTTGAACGAAATTAACAGAAACATACGTTTCAAAATGACCTCGACGAAAAATTTAAATATGATATTTTCAAATTTATTACATCCTGTTAAATATCTGGCTAACAAACACCTTTTTATTGTAGCAAAACGATATGGACTGAAAACAAGCATTGATGATGTTTCTACATCATTAAAAAAGAATGTTCTAAGAGGCAAGATTTTTATTGAATTTATACGCAATACATTCGACTGTTCTTATTTTATTTGGTATTATTCAATTATCATTGAATCGATATGGGTAGAAAAATTAGAAAACATAGAAAAGAATATGATGGAAAACGATGTAACAGACGTTCGCACAGATCGATATAAAACGGTGAACGAGTAAAAGTCTGTTATTAATCGACAAATAATGGCAAAACAGATTGTAGAATCTTAATGTATTTTCTAAAATTATTTTAACATTTCCATACTTGAATTAATATTTTAATGTCGTTTCGTCTATTTATTGCACAAATATCAATTTATTAATTTATAACTTATTGACAAATATTAATTATTGTTTTGTTTATAATTAATATAATAAATTATTACAATATAAACATGCCTATCATTAAAGATCCCCAAATAATATAATAATAATCAAATTAGTTTTAATTTTGGAGACTTATTGTAATAATAAAACTACGTCAATTTTAAACATATTGTTTTTGGATATATTTCTTATTTAAAGCATTGGTGTATGACTAACAGGAAACTGTTTGAACAAACACACAAAACATCGCATTAAAATATGTTTTCTTGTTATTTCGTTAAATAACACGACCTTAAGCGTGTTTGTAAGTATTGACTACTATTTTTTATTTAAATTTGGTACACACAATATTCATTCAAGAGTTGTTATAGACCAGTAATATTTATTAATTAAATTGTGGAAAATGTAAAAAATACAATGCAGTAAAATTTGAATTACAAAAGATTATCTAAAAATTGTTTAATTTCACGAATATGTTTTACATTTACGTTAACTGCAAGTGTAAAAATAATGAACATAATGAAAATATTTTTCGGACATTGACTGTTGATTTCCTCTCAAACAGCAATCTAGATGTTTACTAGCGGGTACAGAGTAACTTCAACAAAAAAGTACGATCGAACTAATTTGCAAATTATGAAGCCGAGAAAGAAAATCGAGCATGATTATGCAGAAAAAACCGTTTAAAGCCGTGCAAGATCATTGGGCTTCTGGGAAACCTAGGTATTTAATTATACAATGTAGTAGGTACTTAAGTAATAAAAACCGATATAAGATGTATTTTAGTTTTGCAAAACGAACCTATTCAAATAAAATATTACCTTCGGCGTTTTGTTAAAATGCTTGAACTGAAAAAACAACATTTATATGTATTTTGGCGAAACAGATCAGAACTCGAACGAAATAAATAACTTGTGCTTAAGAGTCATAGCTTTTCTCATAAAAACAAGTAACATCAAAATATGTTTTATTGTGTTGATTTTTTCGAGATATTATTAAAAGTCACAATTCAGGACGAAATAGCGCTAATGGAAAACATACTTACGGGTTACGAAGACCTTAAGTGTGTAGCTATTTGTTCCGTACGTCTTACATATTAACCTAGATATTTACTAAGGTCAAAAATTTCGGTGTGAGGGTGTGCACATTGAAACTACAGGTCTGAGTGCATAGGCACTTCTTGGGTTCAAGAATTTTCATTTTTAACGGATATAAAAAAAAAATGTATAGTAACATATGTATTTTATATATTCATTGTATCATGAATATCCGGTTAAAAATACAATTAAAATTTTCATTTACTATTTATTTTAACATCTTTTTGTTTTTAACAGCAATGTTTTTCGTTATGCTGTCAGCAAGTACATGTAGAAAAAAAAACCAAGCACGCTTCAAACCAAGTACAGTATAAATAGACATGCCTAATCAATATTCTATACCAATTTTGACTCGGTCCGACCGGTTTTTGCGGAGATATTGCAAATCGAAGTTGACGGTTGAAAGAACGGTTACATTTTTTTTCGGTGGTTCCCGATTTTGAGGATGAAGGAGTTGACATTTTTTTACTTTAGACCCACTAAAGTATCATCTGCATACAAATTGGGATCTGTAGAGGTGCTACATGAGAAATTCGTTCCACAGAAAAATAAGTTGGCGTGTCTACAGACAAAAAAATATACGCATCTTTATAAAACCAATAACTTCTTGATATAGCATAGAAAGCAAAAATGAAAATTAATTAAACAATAATAATTATACATTATTTAAATGTATTATACGTATTAATGTATTATTGTATCAATTACAATACTTAAATATAATTACAAATTAATATAATTCAAAGCTTATATTATTTAATTTTGCATAAGCCCACTTCATTTTTAAAATTTTACATTTAAGTATACATATAAACATTAAATAGTTTACACGGTATAAACTATAAAATTTACAATAATAACATTTTCACAACAATTATCAGTTAAAATTTATACGCAACATTTTCTTGAAAACAATTCCATTACTTTTTACTTTTCGTCTTTTTCTTTATATTCCACTACTCCTCTTTGTATTAACTCGGGGATTTCAACTGCTAACCACGGTCCCAACTATAACAAAAAGTATTTATTAACATAAATGTGTATAGTATGTGCGCAACACAGTATACAAGGTATCAAACTTAGTACTAAAGTCATCAAGTATGATTCTCGTACCTAGTACAATGCTGTTTATTTGCTACGATAATTGAACATTAAAATTTCTATGCATACTTCCGGATTCAAAAGTATGTGGATTGAGTAAAGAATTAGTGACAGATAAGAATAAGTAGGGCGAGAGACTTGCTGGCCGGCCCTGCTGGTACAGAAAAACACGAAGAACGAAACATTATGAATACTATCGGTAGAGTGAGTTTGTTTCTTTTTTAGAACTCTCCTGCCACAACAGGACAAGGCCTTCTATGTTCAACAGTTAGATATTAATTCAAAAGTCCATAATAGTGAACACACATTGTAGTTATAAATAATTTCAATAACATTTCTTTTATGAAATACAATTGTTAATTAAATGATTATTGACTTACACCGAGAGCTAATGCGTGAGATATGCCAAACTTAGGTACATTTCTTGCCCACAGTGGTTTGAAATGGTCGGACAAGCATATCTTCCCTCCTCTATACATTTTAGCAGTTTTACCATCCAACTCAGGCAGCGCAATTTCAGGAGCTGTCATTGGAAACGTTACGGGAATCTAAAACATAATAATAATTCTGGGTAAATTTTGCCCACTAAACAATAATATATATAATCTGGGCACTCACGTCAAACTCTATATCGAATTCATACTTCAGCTGGTTGTGAAATACCCAGCACTTTCCGAACCATTTGGTGCCCTCTTTGTTCGACTCTAAGCGAAACCAATCGTTGTCGGCTGCTTTATTATTTTGAACATACTGAAACAAAGTCATTCAAATTAATCTAATAAAATCTACAAGCTAATGGGTTGTTTAGAAAATTGGAAGTACATACTTGGATTAGCGACTGGTATTCTTCTTTCAGTCTTTGTGGCCATAAATCGACATCACGAGGACCCGCTTTAGTTTTCAATAACGGTATAGACTTTACCGTCTGTTTCGTTTTATCCATTTTTCATTTAATTCGACTACCACTAAAACTATAATAATATTATACAAATTACTTTTACGTTTAACGATAATAGTTAATAGCTAACTTATACAATTTAAAACAACATCATACCAGAAATAATTTATATTTCATAATTATTGGCTATTTGTAAATAAAGTGAATGCCAATTTCTTATCAGTAAATACGTTGCAAGTTGTTCGTCAACAGAAATGATAACAAAAAACAAAAATTATTGGAACAGCGCGCCCTATCCCGAAAAAATGTTGAATTTCACTCTTATTTGCTTATGACTTGATGGACAGATGTCGCCAAAATGCAAAAATTGTATAATATTATTATGGCCACCGAGTCCTCAGTTCTATAGTAACATAATAGTGATAATTTGTAAAGCAATGGGATTTTTTCCCTCTAAAATTCTATACACCTACTACTATTTTATAACTTAAAAATGTTTCATTGAGGGGGAAACCTATATTACATTTAAAAATATTTGTTTCCGTCAATGGCTACTAGAAGTATTGAAGTATATCATTAAGATTTAAATGGAATATCAAAGTATTTATGTACTTTATATTGCTTACACAAAAGATACAACGCGCATATTCATTAATTTGTCATTTAAACTTTAAACGAGTTTTTCTTAGAATTCTCACAAAAATTAATTCTCAACAAATTAATTTGTTTCTGTTATTTTCTGGTGAGCCTATAAGTATACAATATATTTTAGATAAACTAAAAAATCGTATAGTTATTACCTATTTTTACGTTCTGTTATTATTTAAAAACTATATTTTTCTCGTCAAATTCTTATATTATAAAAAATATATTTTTTGTTCACTTTTATGTCCTACACGACGCCCGCAGTAGGCAAAATCGTTATCGAAGAAAATATGATTTAATTATTTTGTAAAAACAAATGATCAAAATTTACCTTTTTTTAAGCTTTGTAAACCAGGTTCTCCCCTAAATGTCTGAACAGGGATGGTCAATACATTTAAGACAAGGTTAATTAATACATTTAAGACAAACATAATTAATTTTATGTAGGTCTTAATACGTTAAACGATATTGATTTTTAAAACTTATTTGTATAGATACTTTTACAACTAAACTTTTAAAAGTTTACGAACTTTACTTTGAGAACCGCATACATTTTATAGGTAAAAACTTGCCTTCTACCTTCTTTTAATGCTGTCAATATTTTATAACATATATGTTAGCTTTGAGCTATAGTTTTTGTTTAAGTTTGTACTAATAACTAATATCCGTCTTTTGCTATTCAGAAGGATAATGTTATAATATGCTTCACTCTAAGTTTATAAGTGCTCTTAAAAATAAACTAAATATACAGCAACAAAAAAATTGTGTAGTCTTGTATCGTATGTCTGTACCACATTAATAAGGAGGGTAGGGTATGTTATCTAATCTTATTATTATAAATAATAAATGTTTGCTATTAAAACGTATAAACAGTTAATAACTAGTCAATGTAATTCACATAAGCTGATTAGCTAACGTAATAACGACTAGCAAACGAACTAAATAATATTTTTTTTAATCTTAGGTTGATTGTACGTTTATTTACACAAATGTTTTTTCCTTTAAATCCTTCAAACAAACCAAAAAAATAAAAATAAGAGATAACGAATCAAAACAACTATTCGTTAGTATGTATAATAATATATAATTATTGAGTTCAACGAATACCAAATAAATTTGCGATAAATAATCTAAAAATAAATTACTAAACTAAAGTTACCTTATTATTTATTTATCATTTTTTTATTTGGAATGAAATTATTCCTACAACGCCCATCTCTGAATGTGGACATTTTTGTAATTTTGATTATTTCAACTTCTGTTTCGGTTTATTTTTTTAAGCTTTGGGGCTAATACCTACCCATTTTGATGGCCAAAAATAACTTACAGTATAATGTTTCACGCCTAGTACAGTGATCGGATTGATATTTTTTTTAAATATAATAATGAACTAATTCTTTATCATACATAGCCCCTCTAGCATTTTGTATTTAAAAATTGATAACTATTCACCGAGTTATATTGTATCTAAGTTATATCTGCAATATCAAACTGCACTGCAGAGCTTAATAGTATTATTGCAGCAAATTTTGTATACAAATTTAGCCATAGCATTTTTCTGTTCATTATTTCAATTTGACACTCTATGTATACACAATGAGCGATAAATTTGTTTACTATTTGAATACTATACAAGTTATTATTAACGTTAACGGGTTAATTAAATGATCATATAATTGTAAGCAAATGGGAAACTCATATTACATTTTTTTTTATAGAACAAACTAATAATTTACATGTTTTAGTAAATTCAGTACTTACAATATTAACTTATCATAATAAAACATTTTCAATTAAAATTAATGGTTATCGAATGCTTTAAAAAATCTATTTGCATTGCCCCATTCGTTTACAAATACCTCACTCGACCCTACATACAAAATTGTATGTGATTCTTTTATTTCATTTTAAAATATAAATGAACTAATTATTTTTGTCTCATTTTGTGGTCAATTTTTATTTTATCAAATTCAGAGGCATATTTATGAGTAAAGAGTTGGGCAAAATTTGATTAAATAACGAATAAAACTATAAAACCAATCGAATAACCTATTAATTGAAATAAAATAAATATGATATTACGATAAGGCAATAACTTATTCGAATATTTGTTTGTTTAAAATGCAGATTTTTCTAATTATGACCAACTCTACTTATCGTTTGTTTTTTTTCCTCTCGGCCATTCAATATTGTATCGTCGTTTTCATGATATTATATATTTTGTGGTCGTTGGTTTTTTTTCAAGTACTGACCGGAACTAACACGTAAGTCAAACTTGACGTTCTAATGTTTGTTAAAAAAAAAAAAAAATGTTTCAATTATATTAGTTTCCGCCGGTTTGTCTTGCAATTTATGTATCTTCGCTTGTCCAAACTACGGCACGGTAAATAATTGGCATGCGCCAAAAACACCGGCGTTCGCCGCTTGCTTACCGTTTGTTCAGTAAGCATTCGCGTTTCCATCCGTACAGTAGTGCAAGTACGACCGCACGTCCCACGATATGCGACCCACGTGCCCAATGCTACGACAGAACTTACCGTACAGTGTGAGTACCTCTACCTAACCGGTGTCATATAAGTGTGTTATTTCTTTTAGGGAATCGAGTTAAATCTAGCATTTAGAGATGCGACTTTCAAAAAGTAAAAATCCATAAAAATTACAACAAAAAAAAACCCCATAGATGCTATTGTTTTTAAGTGTCGAAAAAATGCGATAATAGGTAATAACAAAAAATGTCTGTATACAAATAAAGGTCAAACACGAAAATAATTTGTTTAAACTCTAAAAGCCTTGTAGTTAAAAAAAATACTGAAGTACAACTTTTTATTCGGAAGTTTTTTAGTTTTATAGATTTTTATCATAGACTTTCGCCTTTTTAATACACCTTTCAGCAAATTTTTTTAATTTAGATCCATGTCTACAATTTGAGTCTAAATCGAGTATAAAATACAATACTTTTATATGACTAGAATAATGTATCTTGCGATCTTACCTCTATCCTCAAACAGCATTAGATAAATCTATTAACTTCCTTCACATTGTGGACTAATCAATAGTGGAGTTTAGTGTTTCATAATTTTGACATAATAGGACGCAGAAGTTGTATTAAATAAGTGCAAATGATACGACTTAATTAACATAATTTAAATGTGTTAAAAAAATGCACTTTAGTCTTTACCATTGATAAATGTATATAGAATTTGATATAATATAGAAAATATATTTTATTAGCGCGTGAATGCTTTTTACAACCTTTTATGATATTTTATCACTTTTATTATAAACAATTGTCAACTTCAACGTTGTGTTTGTGTGCGATTCTATTAATAATTGCCAGTCAGTGATCGCTGTTAATATAATACTCAACTAATAGTAATGACTGAAATGTTATAAGGTCTACATTGCTAGCATAAAATATCGTAAAAAAATGTTTGGAAGTAGGTTGTTGTTTAATATTTAGATTTTGCTTCGCTTAAAAGTATGAAGCTCGGCGTCACTGTCGCCAGTCGTACGTTACTATAGAATCGAATGTTTGTGTACAACACATGGTTATATTAAATCGATTAACAAGAATAATAGCTATATATATAAAATGTATACTACCTATTAATTCTTAATTAATCAAGTTTAATTTAAATTAACCATTTACCGAATTACCGTCGTACAACATTTTTGATACTATGACATACTAACATAAATCAAAGGTATTGATGGTAGCACCCAGTTAATATTTATAAACTAATATAGCTTAAATACATTATATATTTTCTACTAACCACAACTAATAAATTATTGCGTTGCTCTCGTGGGAACACGATTTACCCTATCGGACTTCGTTTTAAACTTTTTATACATTTTTTAATCAGGGCACGCTATACCCTCAAAGTTCACTTATTTGCATGTCCATAATAAAGAAAGTCAACAAGTTAACCCATAGCTGTATTCATTCGAATGGGTATGATAATAATGTAATAATATAGAGCAACGTTTAATATAATAGTTTATTTTTTTTTCAAATCCCTTTACACATAGCTGCCGTACAATCATAGAGTACATGAACTAATAAAGAAATAACTAAAAAGAAAAGCGTGGTATTATACTATATTATATTATTATTGTGTAAATGAAATTATATTACACATGCATGTTTTCAATGGAAATTACCTTTTTTCCAAGTGAGGTATGTGCGCACATAGCAAGTAATTCATTTTCCGAAACCCGAATAACGCAAAATATGAACTTTGTAAGGTTTTAAATGTCAATGTTAACACGTGACTGCTTTTAATAAAAAAATCTTTATTCACCTTTTGTTGAACTAGACAAATATGCTGAAGCTATAAACTTATCCACTCGAGTACTGCATTATTGACCTAAGAGATTCGTACTAAACAATTAAGTTGCATTCATTAATTTAACCCATAGATAAATTACATGTTTACTCGCCCACAGGATACATATTTTGTTTAAATTGTACTAATGACCAATGTTAATGACATCGTCTAAAATTTTGGCCAAGACGGTTTTTTGCGGTATTTATACTGCATTAATTTGTATTCATTTTAGACTTGTTTTACTGATTTACGATAAATTAATATAATATTGTAGCGAATGTTATGACTTTTGTTGATTCACATAACACTGGTACACTCAATTGCTTAAAATTAAACTTAATAAAATGCTCGAGCAAGAAGTCACCTATAAATATCACCATAATGTTTATTATAAACATATTTTTAATAGATACTGTTATTATTATTTTGAAGTGATATGACAAACTATTTGAAAATAAATATTACACATTTTCCGACCGAACCATCAAATTTATATGTTGGTTCGATTATTGAAAAATGTTGTTCCTAAAGAGTTAAGTAAACGGAATTTTCCGTTTTAAACGTTGTAGATAACGTGTTTAACTATAGTTTGGTCGGAGTACATTTTTCGTATAAGTTTGGATCTGAAAATATAAAAGCAAGCTGCGTTTGGGTTCGGTTCGTAGTGGAACACTAGGGTTCGCCACACCACTATAGAGTAATATAATATTCTCTTTAATATTATAATATTTTCACGTGGTTTCGCGCAGTAACACCCAAGTTTTGTACACGTACGTATTCGATCAATTTATATGCAATGTTAATACTTATCGGCCGAGTCATATATACACAGGTAGGTATCTCGAGAGGGTATAGCATAATTGATTCGCTCTCCTCGGTGTAATAAATTCGTGGGCCCTCTTTAGTTTATATAAGACAATGTGGAAGTGTATATTGTGTGTGTACAGTGTAGTTATCAATCAAGGACGTGCCACCGTGGCCGTGGCGAAACGAGAGCGGGCAGGAAAGAAGATGTACCTTTTTTTTGTTGTTAGTTTTTCGCTTTTGGACAGACGCTCCAGCGTGTTGTGTACATAATATATACTACACAGCTCGCTCGAAAAACAAAGATAACGTTCGCCGTTGCCGCCTCGTCTCGATTTCAATAGGGAAAAAGCAAAATCTGATAGGCGAGCAAAGTTATTACATTAGCGACGGGGTTACCTATAGTGTAAAGCGGGCGCGCGCGAGATAGGGTCCCGAGGGTTTATATTGTATGTGTCTGCTGGTTAAAAACTATGCGTTTCCGGACGGGTAATTAGGTAATTGAATAATTAAAACGTAAAGTTTTTTTCTTTCTGTTAAGGCGTGATCACCGCGACGGTTCCGGCCAACATGGCCTCTTTCGGCGCCTACGGCAACGGCGACGACACAGATCTTTATTACCAAGTGGTCGTGCTGTCCAAACCGGACGGTACCGGCATAAGGAGCCACGCCAACGGAGCCGGTGCCGGCGTGGAAACGGTCAACGGTCGGTGTAACAGCGGCGATCAGACGCAGCACCAGCAAGGCGACGGCAACGAAACCCATCAGAGGCGCGGGCGTCGGTCGTTCTGGTGCCGGACCACCACGTTGGCGACCATTAGCGCCCTGCTGGCCATAATGTTTTGTGTCACGTGCGCCGTGTTCCTCTACTATAACTGTAAGTGTTGAATCCATCTATCTCTGTACAATATCTATAACCATTAAGAGAAAATAGTTCTTTCGTTGGGATGGAAATTGCCGGCATGTACTTACTTAGAACCACACTATCAGGACTAATAAATAATTGGACGGTGAGCGGATAAAAGAGGATAAGTCAAATAGTACTGCTTTTGAAAAATGAGCTTTACAATTTGTATTTTCCATTAGGTTCTGTATTAATTTTTTTTTAACAAAAAACTACATGGCAAAACATTACATTCTGTAAAAATAGCGTGTACCTCAGTTTGCCAAAAACTTACTTGCTCCCTTTTGCCAACGAATCGTCTAATTTATATCGGTTTTAAGACATTGTGCACATCCGGGAAAATATTTTATCGTTTATGTGAGGAATTGTTCTTGTACCTATTAGTCGCATAAAACCCTACGGGGAAAATGTTGTCATTTGTCAAAATGTTATTTGTTTGTGTCTTGCAAGCTGTAACAAGGGCTTTGCACCCGGTTTACTTATTCGGGTTATTGGTTTCGTATGTTGTAAGACGTATTAATCGGCTTTAAGCACTGTGTTCAAAATATTACAATCATTTTTCGGGCTAATGTTCGTTAGTACCATTGTTGAATTTTGGAATAAATTATAGCCTTTGACTATTTGCCATAACGACTCAGTAAAAAAAAAAATGTGTCAATTTATTATATGTCAACGTTCTATTCAGTTGTAATTTTCCTTAAACGTATCACTTGAAAAATATTATGTGGTTTTTACATTCAAAATTAGTGGCTGTCAAACGACCCAAGTGCTCGCTATGCTGAATGACTTATTATTCAATGTTTATATTTTAATTCTTAAAAAACCGCTTTTATGAAAAAATGTTTATCGAGAGATCAATATATTTTTTTTAAACTAAGCGATATAGTGTATTCAATTTCAAAGTAAATTCCTACCTTTTGTGTGGGTAACTGGTAGACCTATAGAGAGGATACATTAAAGAATTTGTGAGATTTACTGTTATTTTAATATATACATAATAATATATTGTTGGCGACATGCCCATGTTAAAGTAACTATGTAATGATGTTGTACACACATATTTTATGAATGTTATCCAAGATGATAGATATCAACTCAATGTATCTACAAAGACATTCTTACAGTCTTTGTACCCTGGGGTGAAACGATTCAGGAATTTTACTATATTAATTAAAGAGCAATGATATTGAATTAATTATGCCTGTTTAAAATACCTTTGACATTTTAAATAATTTGTGTGTTTTTAATTTTAATGAGCATTACGCCAAAGAGTATTAAATACGTCTTATGCAAACAACATAGTGTTTTAATTTGCTCAAATTTATTTTGCACGATAAATAAAAGCGATTCCTTGTTTTTTTAACGTTTTGTGTGTCCCACCACGTGAAAACGGGATATTTTATTTTTGGTTTTGCGATGACAGTGCGTTGCTAACCTAAAGCTGACTTGACAAGTTTTAGAACTTTGTAATTTTAGGAACTAATAAAACCGTGGTGGTGGAAAATCGGACCGGAAGCGTGAGTTTCAACACAGTCGCCTTATCCCCTTGGCTACCCTTGAGATCATTTTATAAGTTTATTTATATTTTATTTGAAAAAAATAAAATAATAAAAAGTATTAAAATATATATAAAACTCTTATAAGAGATAAAATAAATAAAATATTAATCTGTAAGATTTAAAAAAAAACAAAGTTTTATTTTTATAATTGTATAATATAATTAAAAATTAGAAAGATAGATAGGTCATCGGTTTATTCTATTTAATAATTTATTATTTTTAAATATTTAACTAGTAGAGAGGACTGATGAAAATGTAGGCTTTAAATGGAAGTGGTTGACTTTAGTTCCGAGAGACGCAAAGGCGTGTAAAGTGTAATGGATAAGGTAGGCGGCACTTGTGTACATTTAAGCGATGAAGGCAATGTTAACTAAGTAGACACTATCTTAACTATTAAAATTGTTTTTATTATCCGGTGTAAAACATAGTAACTAGTTTATACTTCCGCTTCTTTAAAAACTTGAATAACTTATGTAACATTTATTTAAAAATAATGATATACAAATTTCTAAATATGTATAACTTGGTATAAATATGTTCAAATTGGTTTTTATCCATTTTAAAAAGGCTTTTAACAAAAAGTAAACGCTACATAATAATAAAATAATTGTGACATTTTGTTAAATCAAACGTGGGGTTACAAGTGCGCCTTAGTTAAATGTTTTCTGTTGCCCAAAAATGAAATTTTTGAGTCATTATGAAGTATTTGAGCATTGTTTCTTTAAATCTTTCAGTCATCCGCTCTTGTCAACCTAAGTTATGATAAGTTTCCTTATACTCGGCTGTGTTTCTTACCTTATGTATTTAATTGAAATCTTATTGATTTTTCCACATAACTACTTTGCTTTTTGAAGGATATAGTCTATAGAAGAGCTTCGGTAAGAACTTGCAATACTTTTAAAGAGCTTTTCCTTGCCTTCGAGCAAAAAGTAGATGTTTCCTGTCGGCATATGGAATGTATTTCATCTTTGGTTAATCTACAGTCTTCGTATTGTGTTATGTCATGTATAAAATACAATTATTGTTGAAAGTTACAATGTAAACGTTTGAAAGCTTAGACGAAATTTTACAGTAAGATTATTGAAATTGTTCTTTTTGATATTATAATTTGTTTAGATTTTTTTATGAAAATGTTATGAATTAGTAATTTGACTTACGAATAATTGAATCAATCAAATTAGACAATATTTATCATTAATTGGATTCGGACATCATTTAACTTGATGGCGCGTGCCTTTTGTTTTTGCACCGTTTTCTTTAGCTTTGCCATTTTTTTTTTTACAGTGTTCGAACGAAAAACGTTTTAAAACAATTTCTTTTCGTATGGTAAATTGTTGAAAATTTCAAATAAATCAATAATGACTTTGAAAATTATTTAAAAAGAAAACAAAGTGAACTAATAAAGGAAACTTTCGAGTGTTTCGACAACATGTTGTCACTACAGTAACTTGTAATAATAAAATTGAATTCACTGCCATTCGCCGATAACGGTCGCGCGGGGCACGCAGACGAGTGGTTACCGATTACCGCCGAGGTGTTTGGTAGCTGCAAATTTATTATACAGGCATTCATTTGACGTGCTGTCGAGAGCAACGAGCACGGATTGCCGCTATAGAAAACGTCACCCATAATGATAATATATTATTATTTATTTTGGTCGGTAACCGTGACCTAAAAGTAAAGACCGAGGGCGGTCCAACGCGGGTATAGGTCTGGGAGGGTTGGAGTGTGGCGGTAACGAGTGATAAAGAACTTAAAAAAAAAAATATATACATATCGATTTAGATCCCGACGGTGTATGCCATTATTGTTGTTTAACCCCAGTGTTCTCGTCAAACACTATAATATAATTAATGTTCCTCTCTTTATTTTTGGGTCATAAAAAATAAATATAAAAGTACCAATAGAGAGTATTAATCGTATCGTTTCCGTCAAACTCGTTCGTATATCAACGAGTGCGATCTATTTTTTACACGAAAAATAGCGTCGCTAATTAAATAAAAAATGACAAAGCTGACCATCACAATTACTCGTATAATACAAACGGCTGATGTGATTGGATCATCGCTCAATTAGCACAGCGGTTTTTATGTATAAATCATTTTGAGTCAATAACGTTGTTGGGGTTCGTCCACTCGGAACGTTAATATTTAATTGCTAATTTATATTCGCCGTAATATATATATATAGTAAACCCTTTTCGCACTACACATAATATATTATATAAATTTATTTTCTGGACTATCACAGCATCGTTGACAGTTTATTATTGACAGTGATTTACAGTAAATATTATTCCGAGTTCCAACCTAGCGTTTATCTAAAGAGCTGCAATGAGTAATTTCCCCATAAGGGATTTAGTTTTTCAATGAAAAGAAAAACCCATCTGCTCTTCTCGCACTGCTTCTTCGACACGTCTATTACCCGCTAGGAGAAAATAGTTCAGGGTTTCAATTTTGTAGCTATATTGGCTTGTCTGTGTGTCGTACACGTGGCTATAAATATATAAATGTGTCGTTCTATCTATGTTTATGACTTAAGACCGACTACAGCAATTAATGGTATAAATTCATTACATTAAGATGAAAGACGGTAAGGTGGTATGCGCGAAGCGTTACTTCTAGCTTTCCGTAATGGCTAAATAATATCACAAACATAAATTGAATTTCTAAAATTAACTGAATACCGTGGCCGTAATTTATGTTCAACTAGAATCCCTTTAGCTGCGAAACTCGGAATGTAGCCGTCTTTAAGGAAAACTATTTGCAAGTTATAACTTATATCAGTGTTGTATTATATGGGCGTTCCTATGTATTACAATATAGGCATTGTATTATGTCGTTATTATTTTCTCTGGCGATTTTCAAAAATTACTTATATTATTTATGTATTTACATTGTGTTGCATGTAATATCATATAATTTTTCGCACTATACACGAGTTTTTTTAAACAAGCGCATACACATAGTTTTAAAACTTAAACGATATTTACAACGATGATTTATACTGATTTTAAAATTAAATTCACTTTTAGCCTTTTTTGTAACGTTTACTAGAGAAAAAATTTGCTCAAGTGTATGTAGTATAAAATCAAAATAAAACTTAAGAAAATAAAAGCGGGTTTTAAGTGTTCCGAGTAGAGTTCTCAATGTTAAGGACTGAGAGCCAGGCTTTAACTTTGAAACTCTCAACGAGGGAGTTCAACCATCTTGTTATAATACTTTTTTCAAGTTGATTGGGGAATAAAGTTACGAAGAAAATTATGAGATGTCTATAGGTACTTATAACTTCCTTAAAAAAACTTACGGATACACTCCTATATAATATAAATGCATGTTTAATATTAGGTAAATAAAATTTACTAAAGACTCCCGTTTAATAGCATTTTATATAGAAACAATTTATTGTATGTTA